CCAAGTCCAAGCGGCGCCTGTCGGAAAGGTCCACCCGGGGGGCCGTGGTGTGGGCCAGCCATTGCTGCGGGACTACTTGCCCGTCTGCCCCAACTGCTTCTCGAGCCGCCCGCACCCACGCCCGTTCCACTATCTTGGCACACCGGGCGAGGAGGCCGCTACGGGGGCATGCCAAGGCGTGGTCCCCGAAAGCATCTACTTGCGCGCCGCACCCCGGAGAGGGCCCACAGCGATCGGAGTGGAGCGGGAGTGCGAGGCGGAGGCGTCGGCGCAGTGCCACCTGCATGGCCTGGGGTTCCAAGGTCATGGCGGGCTCAGCGGGCACTGCTGTTAGCCAGGCTCCCGCATGCGGCCCAGCCTGCGAACGCAAAAGCGCAGAGGCGGCTGGCGGCAAGGATGGCAATAGCACGCTGTCGCGGAAGTGAAGGTTCCGGGTACGCGACGCGTGGCTTTGCCAACCATGCGGCCAGTCGCCCAGGCCGGCGTCCGCAAGGGGGCGAGGGCGGGTTTCCTCGGCAAGAGCTCGCCATTCGGGGCATGTATGCCAACCTTCGGCCCGGAGAAGACTGCGGGCACCAGCCGCGCTCTGTAAGCAGGGCGCGGTTCCACCCTCGGCGCCCAAGTAATCCACGCAGGAAGCGGCGAACTCGGGCACCCGCGGAGTACCGGCAAGGCATCAGCCCAGGCAGCCCAGTAGGCCGCCGGCGCCATGCGCGCGGCCGACTGCAAACCCAGGCCTCCGAGCGCAGCAGGGAGCCCCGCCAGAGAGCGCGCTCCGTCCGCTTCGTCTGGAGGCAGGCCTCCCAACAGCGCGACCAAGGTCTCCCAGACTGCATCGTCGTGCAACTGGGCGTAGGAGGCGACCTCGGAGGGGGGGACGGTCCGCAAGGCATGGTTAGCGCGCGCGGGGAAGCGCACATGGCCAAGAGCAGCCAAGCGCATTGGAGGTCTGGGAGCCGGGGCAACTGCTCCAGCAGGTGGCGCTCTTCGTGCGCTCGGGTCGTTGCCCAGGCGCGCACGTACTCCGAGTGGCCGACCGGCGTGCCCAACACAAGCAGACCGCACTCCGCCAGGGGCCGGTCCCCGCGCCACACGTCCGTGCCCAGCTCGGCAACTCCGGGCGGCGGCGGGCCCCCTGCCGGGGGATGCGGATCAAAAAAAAATTTATTTAGGATCAAGAAAAATTTATTTGGGATCAAGAAAAAATTTATTTAGGATCAAAAAATAATTTATTCTGTTCTTCCGACGGAGAAAGAGAAAATGGGATGGAGGGAGGGAGAAAAGGAGGGAGGGAGGGAAGGAAGGGCGGAAGGACGGAAGGACAGGAAGGAAGGAAGGAAGGAAGGAAGGAAGGAAGGAAGGAAGGAAGGAAGGAAGGAAGGAAGGAAGGAAGGAAGGAAGGAAGGAAGGAAGGAAGGAAGGAAGCAAGGAAGGAAGGAAGGAAGGAAGCAAGGAAGCAAGGAAGCAAGGAAGCAAGGAAGCAGGGAAGGAAGGGAAGGAAAGGAAAGGAAAGGAAAAGGAAAAGGAAAAGGAAAAGGAAAAGGAAAAGGAAAAGGAAGGCCGGAATCAAAAAAGACAGAAAAGGCAATTTCACAAAAGAAAGAAAGCAAGGAAGACGTCGTGCCAGCTTGCTTCAAAGCATACGTATTCTGGCCTCTGGTCCCGTGGTTTCCCGGTCCCGTGGTCAGAGTTTGTTTTTATTTATTGCTTTTTGGTCATAATGGTATATTTAGTTCTGTAGGAAAACATAACATAACATATGATATATGTATGTGTATATATTAAAACAAAGTACAATGATACTATATAGTGGAATAGAGTATCATAATGGGGGGGGGGGCTGCGCCCCCCCCCCAACCCCCCCGCTGTTTTCTTAGTCCGGGCAAGCTTGCTTCAAAGCACATGAATCCTTCCAATCCCATGATGCGAGCACTTTTTTGCATAATATAATAATACACAAAAATACAACACTTTTCAAGTATATACAAGAATATGCAGCAATATACACGTAAAACAAGAATAACTTGCAACAATTTTCAGTAATTGACAATAGTATTCAATAATCGACAACAATATACAATAATATACAAAAATGTACAATAATACACAACAATATATACAATAATTTTCGAAAATATACAAAAATATACAGTAATATAGAAAAACACAAAAACTCAATGACATGCAATAATGTAACATAGTATACAATAATATACAATAATAGACAATAATATACAATGACATACAATAATATACTATAATATAGATAATCTGCAGTAACATACAAAGAAAACTCAATAATATACAATAATGTACAGTAATCTACAAAAAAGAGAATAATACACACTAATTTTGAAAATATACAATAACATTCAATAATATGCAACAGTATAAAGTATTATACAAAATTACAAGAAAATACACGACAATACAATAATACTCAACAAGATGTACAGCAATATACAATAACGTGCAAGAATATACAATGTCATACAATACTATACAAGAATATACAATACTAGGCCATAATATACATGCTTAGAGAATACGCAATAAACTTCTAATGCCAAGATGCCAGCATTGATTTGCAGCCTCTGCAAACTCAGAAATGCTGCTATTTACAGTATTTCCAGCCTTTGAAATCGCAGAAATGCTGCTATTTTCAGTATTTGCAGCCTCTGGAAACTCAGAAATGCTGCAGTGTACAGTATTTCCAGCTTCTGAAAGCGCAGAACTGCTGCTATATACAATATCTGCAGCCTCTCTGGGAACTCAGAAATGCTGCTTTTTCAGTAGTTCCTGCATAAATGCTGTGTTTTTCCGTATTTAGAGCTTGCGAACGGCCAGAACTGCTGCGTTTTTGAGCGTTTACGGCCTCCGCTTCGCTTGCAAGAAGCCTTCGAAGCCTTCAGTAAATTATTTTTTGATCCCAAATAAGTTTTTTTTTGATCCGCCTAGAAATAAATTATTTTTTGATCCCAAATAAATATTTTTTTGATCCCCTACCCTGCTGGGCTGTAGACACGGGTTTTGCCTACATTGGACGCGATGCCGCACTCGTCCTCAACGCGGTGGACCACCACATCGCGGCACTCCCTGGCACGATCCCGATTGGTGACGACGTAGAGGTCGTCGAGGAAGGCGAGGAGGCTCTCGGAAGGTGCGAGGGCCGAGGCCGCGCTGCTCAAAGCACCATGCTGTCCGAGTGCGTACAGGGCGGGGGCCAACGGGTCTCCCTGCTCGCAGCCCTCACCCTGCGAAACCTCTCGGCAATTACCTGCCGCGTCCCACCACAGGTACGTGGACGGGTCGCCATACCACAGGCGTACAAAAGGCACCAGCTCCGGTGCGCAGGAGTTCAGCGCGGACAAAAAGCCGCCCGGGACATGCTGTCGTAAGCATTGCGCCCGTCCAGCGACACGACTACTGCATCCGGCCGCATATCGAGCGACGCGCGCACATGAGCCGCCAGGGCGTCTGTACCGGCCCGAGCCTTGAGCGCGAACTGGTATGGGCGTGTAGCTTGGTCGAATGTGTCGGCCCAGCCCTGAGCCAGCGCGCGCGAGACGAGCCGACGGAAGACGTCGCCTGTCGCGATCCCGCGCACCCCGCCGCCGGGCTTTTGAAGCGCGGCGAGACGCGCCAGTGCCAGGCCGGGGACGATGGCAGCAAGGATCTGGGCATTGGCGAGTTGGGTGGCCGCGTGCGCCAAAAGTTCGAGCGCGCTGACGTCCTGGAGCAGGAGCCTGAGATGCTCCGCCCGCATGCCCGCCCCTCTTGGCGCCGCGCAGAGCCGCGGACACAGCCGCTGGACCAAGTTGGACCTTGTGAGTGGGCGTCTGCGTCAATAGCTCGGCGGGGATGGGCTTGCGGAGCTGAGGCGGACGCTTGGCCGGGTCGGTCAACGCGCGCCAGGTGGCGTCGTCTCCTGGGGCAAGCTCCGCGGCCGTCAACATGTGCCGGGCACGGGACAGCTCCCCCGCACGGACTCGAGCGCAAGCTTGGGCCCGGCGGCGCTCTGCGCCAGCATGTTCATCCGGCTGGGCCGCGCCCCTGCGTGGACTGCGCGGTTGTTGCGCGGCCCGCAGCAGGTGCAGCCAGTCGCCTTGCTCAAAAGCCCGGGCCCTGGCCAGCAGCAGGGCGCGTCCCTGCGCCCCTCGCTCGTCCGTCCTGGCAAGCAGCATGCGAGGCGCCAGCAAAAAGAGTTTCCAGGCGCGGCAAGCAGGGAGTCCCACGGGGTCGCTCGATTCGCGGATGCGGGTAAGGGCAGCGACCAGCGCTCTTCGCACGGCAGCGCGCATGAAGGGCGGCACATCCTGCAGAGTAGGCACGGGCCGGCGCAACTCCGCACTCAGGTCAACGCCATCCAGGGTGGCCCAGGCCTCTTCAGGCAGCACGGCAACGTCTACGCGTTGCGAGCACTCCTCTTGCGCGTGGGTGGTGGGAACGTCGGCTGGACTTTGGGCTTCACCCGCTCGGTTGCGACCCCGCCCTCGCCCGCGGCCACGTCGGCCCCGGCCGCGGCTCGGGGCGGGGGACGGTGGCCCGTGACGGCCCAGAACCGCGCGAAAATCCTCCGCCAAAGCTGGCGCCGTTGAAGCGAATACCATGCCCCCGTACTGTTCCAGGAGCGCCGTTTGCGCCGATGCGGTGAGGTAACCGTCGGAAGCCTGGCAAAGCAGCACTGCTGAGGCCAAGGGGAGTGGCCCGGGCGGCAGCGCAAACAGCCGGGCTGCCGCCCAGAGACTCCAAAAGTCTTTAAATTTAAGAAAGACCCTTAATTAAAAAAAAACCCGCTGAAATCAGCCCTTAAACAAAGGATATTAGCTTAATTAAAGGTTAAAGTGTAAAACCAAACCTTAATTAGAAGGTTTTTCGCCTTAATTAAGAGTTGTGCGGTTCGAAGAAGCGCTTTTGGCTTAATTAGAGGTTTTTTTGGTGCATTCTTAATTAAAGGTTTTTTGGTGTGGTACATGCAAGATGATGTCTCGTGACAGAGGCTAATAAAGCACGGTCTGAAGCCTTTTTTTGACTGAGCTGGCTCGCAAAAGTGGTGGTTTTGGATTGCTTGCTGCAAACTTCTGCAACATTGCCCTTGAAACTCCGAGCATGCTGAACTCCCCGCCCCTGCGAACAGCAAGCTTCGACAATGTGTGCCCAAACGATTCGTCCCGGTACGACCACGTTCTTCGTGGGTTCGCAGGCGAGGCAGCAATTTCAAGAACGTTCTTGTTGAAGGCACCCTTCATGTCCACCTCAATGCTGGAAGCGGCGCCACTGCCGAAGGCATCCATCAACGAGCCCAAGCTTCCACCATCCATGGTTCCCGTCTGACTGTGCCGAGTCGTGTCGGTGGCAGAGTCTCTCTCTGTGCTCTCCTTCTGCATCTTGTAAAAGTAGCGATGCAGGAGTTTGTTCTTGTGCGGCTGCTCTTGCCTGGTGTGCTTGAACCTTTCCTCGGACTCTCTCAGGAGGTCCTGCAAGGTGTCGGCTGCCACCTGCTCTGAAAGGTTGCTTTCGTTCAGGCCATTGAGCTCCAGGATTTTGGACCTCTGCGACCAAATCTGTGAGGGCACCAACCCACACCCAACAAAAAGAAATATTTCTGCAGCCAAGCCACCGGGTCATGAAGCCTTTCACAAACTCATTCGCTTCCTCGTGTTGAACCTCCGTGTTCTTCGTCAGCTCGTTGGCCCAGTCCAAGCAGTGCATGCCACTCTGCACAGGCTTCTCCAAGATCTTGCTCTTGCCACTCACGTCTGCTGCCTTGTAGTCGCTGAGGATCTTCGCTGCTGCTGCTCTGTGCTCGGGGGTGGCTTTCTTGGCCTTGCACTGGTAGGACAGCGAGGTCAGCAGTCCCGACAGCTGGCCTCTCTCCATGCCGATCTTGCCCACTGCTTCTGTTGGCTCAGTCTTCACTGCTTGCGACTTGGGTGTGGGCGCCTTGGCCGTCCCCTTGGCAGCGGCCTTGGGCTCCTTCTTCACTGCTTTTGCAGCAAACTTGCCCTTGGAGGTCGCAGGCTTAGCCGTCTTAGCCATTGCAAGCAAGCGAGTTCTTCTAAAGTGGAGCACGAGGGAACCGGTACCTTTGAGCACTCTGGGCACTGATGGGCATTGTCGGCCAGAGTATGTCTGGGCTTTCAAGGAGTGGCCTCCTTGTGTCGCAGGAGGCCACTCCTACACCCCCATACTGAGGAAAAAAAAGAAAGATAGAGAAAGAGCACCAGACACAGAGAGAGAAAGTTTGTATACATGTTTCCACGTATATATCTATACAGTTGTACACGTACATATATATATATATGTACGTAGGACCTTTAGGGTCTATTTGGCACGCCTCTTTTGCCGCCGGGGAAATCCCTAGATTTGATTTTCAAGGATTTCATGAAATTTAAAATGCCCAAACAATCCTTGAAATCCTTAAAATATTAAATCCCGGGATTTGATTTTTTAAGGATTTCAAGGATTTTTTGGGCATTTTAAATTTTATGAAATCCTTGAAAAATCAAATCCCGGGATTTAATTTTTCAAGGATTTCAAGGATTTCATAAAATTTCAATACCGGAACTCCTGCAAAAGCAAACCGCCCCCCTCCCCACTCAGAGTACGGGGAAGACCACGCGGATTTTAAAATTTATGAAATCCTTGAAATCCTTGAAAAATTAAATCCCGGGATTTGATTTTTCAAGGATTTCATGAAATTTAAAATGCCCAAAAAACCCTTGAAATCCTTAAAAAAATCAAATCCCGGGATTTAATATTTTAAGGATTTCAAGGATTTTTTGGGCATTTTAAATTTTTATGAAATCCTTGAAAAATTAAATCCCGGGATTTGATTTTTCAAGGATTTCAAGGATTTCATAAATTTTAAAATCCGCGTGGTCTTCCCGTACTCTGAGTGGGGAGGGGGGGTTTGCTTTTGCAGGAGTTCCGGTATTTAAATTTTATGAAATCCTTGAAATCCTTGAAAAATTAAATCCCGGGATTTGATTTTTCAAGGATTTCATGAAATTTAAAATGCCCAAAAAATCCTTGAAATCCTTAAAATATTAAATCCCGGGATTTAATATTTTAAGGATTTCAAGGATTTTTGGGCATTTTAAATTTTATGAAATCCTTGAAAAATCAAATCCCGGGATTTGGTTTTTCAAGGATTTCAAGGATTTCATAAATTTTAAAATCCGCGTGGTCTTCCCGTACTCTGAGTGGGGAGGGGGGGTTTGCTTTTGCAGGAGTTCCGGTATTTAAATTTTATGAAATCCTTGAAATCCTTGAAAAATTAAATCCCGGGATTTAATTTTTCAAGGATTTCATGAAATTTAAAATGCCCAAAAAATCCTTGAAATCCTTAAAATATTAAATCCCGGGATTTGATTTTTTTAAGGATTTCAAGGATTTTTTGGGCATTTTAAATTTCATGAAATCCTTGAAAAATCAAATCCCGGGATTTGATTTTTCAAGGATTTCAAGGATTTCATAAATTTTAAAATCCGCGTGGTCTTCCCGTACTCTGAGAGGGGAGGGGGGGGTTTGCTTTTGCAGGAGTTCCGGTATTTAAATTTTATGAAGTCCTTGAAATCCTTGAAAAATCAAATCCCGGGATTTAATTTTTCAAGGATTTCATGAAATTTAAAATGCCCAAAAAATCCTTGAAATCCTTAAAAAATCAAATCCCGGGATTTAATATTTTAAGGATTTCAAGGATTTTTTGGGCATTTTAAATTTTATGAAATCCTTGGAAAAATTAAATCCCGGGATTTGGTTTTTCAAGGATTTCAAGGATTTCATAAATTTTAAAATCCGCGTGGTCTTCCCGTACTCTGAGTGGGGAGGGGGGCGTTTGCTTTTGCAGGAGCTCCGGTATTTAAAGTTTATGAAATCCTTGAAATCCTTGAAAAACTAAATCCCGGGATTTAATTTTTCAAGGATTTCATGAAATTTAAAATGCCCAAAAAATCAGTGAAATCCTTAAAGAACTAAATCCCGGGGTTCGGTTTAGGGTTTAGGGTTTAGGGTTTAGGGCTTAGGGTTTAGGGTTTAGGGTTTAGGGTTTAGGGTTTAGGGTTTAGGGTTTAGGGTAATATCCTTGAAACCCTTAACAAAAATCAAATACCGGATTTGATGGTGTAAGGAGTTCATAAAAAGTTAAGATGCCGAAAAAGAATTAAAACCCTTTAAAATCAAACCCCGGGATTTGTCTTTTCCAGGATTTCAGACATACCCGCTCATTGCCCATCCCACATCACCCCGCATCATCTCCCATCGTTTCTCTCATCCCCCATCATGCCCCATCATCCCCCAATCATCCCCCATCATCTCCCATCATCATTCCCCGTCATCTCTCATAATCCCTTTCACCCCCCCATCATCCACCATCATCCCCCATCAGCCCCCATCATCGTCCCCGATCAGCCCCTATCATGCCCCATCATGTCTCTCATCCCGCGTCATCCCCCATCATTCCCCATCATCCCCCATCATCTCCCATCATCCCGCATCATCCCCCATCATCCCCCATCATCATTCCCCATCATCTCCCATAATCCCTTTCACCCCCCATCTTGAGGGGTTAGTGACTGCCCTAGAGGTTAGTCGTATGTCCCCCCGCTTCGTGTTGTTGTGATTTGGTAGGGGCCCAGAGGTTTGTATGAGTTGTTTTCTTCGTTCGTGTTGTAAGGGTTTTGTGAGGGCCCCGGAGGTTTGTCGCATGTCCGATTTCTTCGTGCTTGTAGGGTTTGGGGAGTGTCTAGATAATTGTCAAAAATCATTCCTTCCGCGCTCGTACTATGAGGGGCTAGTGGCTGCCCTAGAGGTTTGTTGTATATTCCCCCGCTTCGTGTTCCTGAGATTTGGTAGGGGCCAGAGGCTTGTCATATGTCCCCTCCCTTCGTCCCTTCGTGTTGTGAGGGTTGCATTCGGCCTTGGAGGTTTGTCGTATGTCCCCTTTCTTGGCGTCTAGATGATTGTCATCATAAGTCATTTGCTTCCGTGGTCGTATTATGAGGGCTATTGACCGCCCTAGAGGTTTGTCGTATGCCCCCCTGCTTCGTGTTCCTGTGAGTTGGGAGCGGCCTAAAGGTTTATCTTTTGTCCCCTCCCTTCGTCCCTTCGTATTGTAAGGGTTTCGTGAGCGCTCTGGAGGTTTTTCATATGTCCCCTTTGTTCGTGCTTGTAGGGTTGAGGGAGTGTCTACATGATTATCATATATCATTTGCTTCCGCAGTCGCTATGAGGGTATTGATTGCCCTAAAGATTTCTCGTGTGCCCCCCCGCTTCGTATTCCTGTGATTTGGTAGGGGTCTAGAGGTTTGTCGTAATTCCTCTCCCTTCGTTCCTTCGTGGGATGTTTGCGTGTGTCCCCTTTCTTCGTGCTTGTAGGGTTTGGGGAGCCTAGACGACTGATATATATATATATATATATAATTCGATTCCGCGCTCGTATTGTGAGGGGCTAGTGATCGCCCTAGAGGTTTGTCGTATGTCCCCCCGATTCCTGTTCCTGAGATTTGGTAGGGGCCTAGAGCTTTGTCGTATGTCCCCTCCTTTCGCCCCTTCGTGTTGTAGGGGTTTTGTTGGGCCTTGAAGGCTTGTCGTGTGTCCCCTTTCTTCGTGCTTGGAGAGTTTGAGGAGCGTCGAGATGACTACCATACATCATTTGCTTCCGTGCTCGTACTATGTGCGGTTAGTGACTGCCCTAGAGGTTTGTCGTATGTCCCCTTCCTTCGTCCCTTCGCGTTGTATGGGTGGTAAGGGTTTTGTGAGGGCCCTGGAGGCTAGTCGTATATCCACTTTCTTCGAGCTTGTAGGGTTTGGGGGGGAGCGTCTAGAGTCTAGATGATCGTCATATATGATTTGCTTCCGTGCTCAAACTATGAGGGGCTAGTGACTGTCATAGAGGTTTGTCATTTGTCCCCCCCGTTTCCTTGGTCCTGTGATTTGGTAGGGGCTTAGAGGTTTGTCATACGTTCCCTCGCTTCGTCCTTTCGTGTTGCAAGGGTTTTGTGAGAGCCCGGCAAATTTGCCGTATGTCCCTTTTCTTCTTGCTTGTAGGGTTTGGGGAGCGTCTAGACGACTGACATATGTAATTTGATTCCGGGCTCGTATTGTGCGGGGCTAGTGACTGCCCTAGAGGTTTGTCGTATGCCCTCCGCTTGTTCCTGTGATGTAGTAGGGGCCTACAGGTTTGTCGTGTGTCCCCTTTCTTGGCATCTAGATGATTGTCATAAGACATTTGCTTCTGTGGTCGTATTGTGAGGGCTATTGACTGCCCTAGAGGTTTGTCGTATGCCCCCCTGCTTCGTGTTCCTGTGAGTTGGGAGGGGCCTAGAGGTTTATCTTTTGTCCCCTCCCTTCGTCCCTTCGTGTTGTAAGGGTTTCGTGAGCGCTCTGGAGGTTTTTCGTATGTCCCCTTTGTTCGTGCTTGCAGGGTTTGGGGAGTGTCTAGATGATTATCATATATCATTTGCTTCCGCAGTCGCTATGAGGGTATTGATTGCCCTAAAGATTTCTCGTGTGCCCCCCCGCTTCGTATTCCTATGATTTGGTAGGGGTCTAGAGGTTTGTCGTAATTCCTCTCCCTTCGTTCCTTCGTGGGATGTTTGCGTGTGTCCCCTTTCTTCGTGCTTGTAGGGTTTGGGGAGCCTAGACGACTGATATATATATATATATAATTCGATTCCGCGCTCGTATTGTGAGGCCCTAGAGGTTTGTCGTATGTCCCCCGATTCCTGTTCCTGAGCTTTGGTAGGGGCCTAGAGCTTTGTCGTATGTCCCCTCCTTTCGCCCCTTCGTGTTGTAGGGTTTGTTGGGCCTTGAAGGTTTGTCGTGTGTCCCCTTTCTTCGAGCTTGGAGAATTGAGGAGTGTCGAGATGATTACCATACATCATTTGCTTCCGTGCTCGTACTATGTGGGGTTAGTGACTGCCCTAGAGGTTTGTCGTATGTCCCCTTCCTTCGTCCCTTCGCGTTGTATGGGTGGTAAGGGTTTTGTGAGGGCCCTGGAGGCTAGTCGTATATCCACTTTCTTCGAGCTTGTAGGG